CTAACAGGTGCTACAGCAATTAAGAGGTGGTTCCATGCTCCTCAAAACCTCCACTCTCCTGATTAGAGGCCTTGCTGCCTCTTATAGTCATTTCCAGGATGTGTGAGGGTTAGAGTTGGGGGAATTAAGGAATGTAGCTTCTCAAAAAATTATCTGTGGAAATAGTGACAGAGTATCAAGAGGCTTGCAACATTTCTCTGGAAATGGGGTTGTAGGATGAAAAATAATTCATAAGCCTCTGAATGTCTTGCAATGTTATAAAAGCATAATTGCCTGTTGGCTCCCATCTCTGTAAGGAATAATTGCTAAGGACATCCATCCCTCAAATCCTACAGTTGGATGCTGGGGTTTCTTCCTAACCAATAACGATTCTGTCTCAATCACTATATCTTTGTTCTTTTTTGTCTTGAAATCAGAATACTAGTGTAGCAAGAGAGAGCGATGGAAGAATAATTTATTCTCTTGTTTGAATTTCCACCATTATGGGCATTATTATATCCATGATAAAATAACACCATAGTTCCAGAATGTAATGGAGTGGCTGAAAGGAAATGGAATGACAAACATACTTTGTTCTCAGAGAGATTTTTATATCACTATGGCATACACAAAAACTGTGAGCTGGGAATATCTGGGAAAGATATATTCCCAAAGGGAAATGGCACAATGCATTTGTAAGCTACTGGGGAGGCAAATTTAGCTTCTGCCTTTTGAAAGAAAGTAACTTTTAGGTTTGGCTGCTGTAAAACAAACTGGAATTGACTGCCACTTTCATCACTGTATGAGTGATGTCACTAAGTACTCAGTCACGCGACTCACTTGACTTATCTCCACTAAAGGCAGATAATCACCTTCTGTATACCTACAGTTAGTATACAATCACTCATACCAAAGTAAATAATAACATATGATTTGCTTTTGATGGTTTATTGGAGAGCAAATATAATTTAAACTTTTACATAACAGTAGACTTCAGTCAAGAATGGAAGCACCCACTCTTCTGTATCTGGTTTGTTGGGGTGAAATTTATCAAAAATCTCCATAAATTTTTGCCTGGCTTGATTTATTTCCTCTTCCGGTCGAGAAGCAATTGCACTGATTGTAATAAAATAGTCTGCAATCCTATGTTTGTCACCCTGTAGAAAAAAACAGAAAATAAATTATTTTTTATATGAATATGTAATAATTTGGTGAATTTTCCTAAACCATAACAAATTCATTTATTTCACTAAAAAAGAGAGATTTTTCAATTCAATTTTGAAAAACGTATCACAGTTCTGAGAGAATTAGAAGTCATTGTTAGCCACGACAATCTTAACAAGGGGTAATGTTAAAAACTTTCTATGGCCAAGAATTTTCATGGTTAAAATGGTAGAAGCCTTGATGCAGCACTTAGAAATCTCCAACAGTTTGGGATACATGTTCAAGCATCGTTCATAGCTAATTTTTTGCCCCAAATTCCCATAATTCAGAACTCAGAACAATCTACAAAAAATGAAGATGTCCATCACAAAATGTATAATAAAAAATAGAACTTATTTTGATATGCAGATGGCACAATATTGATAGCAGACACAGAAAGGAAAATACAGGTACTCTTACAGAAGGCAGTAAAGGAAAGTGAGAAGAAAGGACTAACCATCAGTTGCAATAAGATAAAATGTATGATTGTCTGTCAATAAAAGGAACATTCCAACATACGAATTTGGAGATACTGAATCAAACAAGGACAAAAATTTAAATATTTTGGAAGTAGAGGAATGTAAAGTGCAACATCAAAATCTGGAGGCACATTGACATAGCGAAAGGTGCTTTCGGAAAGCTAAGCAATGTATCAATAAATGGGAAAATTTTGTTAGAAACAAAGAAAAGAGTACTGAAATGCTATGTAATATCAGTTCTCCTACATGACAGTTTATGCGAGAAGGATACTGGGAATACCATGTATCAAACATGTGAGCAACAATGAAGATTTAGAAAAAAACAAAATGAACACATATACTTAATATCAGAGAATGTTGAAATTTCTAGGGCACATAACGAGGAAAGAGGGCTTGGAAAATTTGAAACTCACAGGAAAGAGAGATAGAGGAAAACAGCTCTTAACCTATCTAAGAATCTTGTGTAAATGGATGACAAAACAGGCAAGAGTGCAAAAAGACAACATTTACTAAATGCTACAAAGGAGAGGAAATTGTGGAAGGACATCATTGCCAATGTCCTGAATGGACATGACATATTAGAAGAAGAAGAAGAAGAATCATAATTATCTCAGTACTGCAGTAAGAATAATAAGTGGGTGAGTTTTCAAAGTTTTCCATTAAGAATAAAAAAAAGACATGGATAAATAAAACCTGAGTGGCAAAAATGGAAGGCTATTTCCCCTTAGATGTATGGAAAGTGCATATTATATGTTATCGCAAAAGGTGTTGAAAGAATGGTCTGTTCAAGACCTGCTTTATCTTTCCAAAAGTCAGTTAAGATCAAGAATGGAGTATTGCTGCCATATTTGAGCTGGTGCTGTTCAAATTCCCACTGCCCAGCTTTGACAGATTTTTAAAACACTTACGCAGCTTTGTGGGAGATAAATTATTCTCCACAATGTAACCCTAATTCCACAGACATCATCACCTGCCTTTCACTACACTATCACTATAGCAGATGTTTGGATGAGTTACATTTCTTATTGTCACCAGCTGGGATTTTTGCAGCTATGATTCATCATACTATGTTCATAGCAGCAAAACATCCTGGTTTTTTTTTTTGTGTTCCTTTGATAAAAATAAAGTTTCACTCAGACAACATTTTTCTCAGAACTTATTTATGGAACAAACTCCCATGAGAATGCTTCCCTGACAACTAGAGTCTTAAGTTCAGGGTCAACCAATATGTTTTCCTACAGATTCACATAATACTCTCTTACTTCTCCTCCCTTACAATCTCACTCTGTAATCCTCTATCTTAAATGGCTCTTGGGCCTTGTATTGGGTAAACTATCAATAAAAAAAAATGTGATACTGCAACAGTCATGTGACACATCAATATATTAACAGCAGACATGATGTGACCACTTGTAAAGTGGGACTTAATTTTGACATTTTTCTCCTGACAGGTCGATATATAGTGTTTGTGAATAAAAATTTTAGAAATTTGTATAAATTATGACTTGCCAAACTGAACAAATGAAACAGATTCAAAATATAACAAATATATTATTAGAACATAGTCTATTAACTAGCTTAAAATCTGTCCTATTGGATGGCATTTCAGCTAGCTCTTGCAGGGGCTCTTGATTGGGCCTTCATTACAATAGGTAGGGAACTATAATTTAATGTACATAGGTCCTTACTTTCTGTACAGTTACTTTTATTTCATGGGTGACTGTTGCTGGATTTTTTTCTGCACCTGTCATCATGCTGTATAAAGGCATCTTGCTTTGTGCTGTGCTAGACTCCATATCAGGAATATATAACTCGTTTTTTTCCTGCTTCTCTTTCAGGGTAAGAAGGCACCAAAATTCATTGCAAAAGCTAAGAACTTTGTTATACCACTTTTACTTCATTTGGTTTGATATGTAGGTTCAAGTTTGTTGCATGGGTCATTATGGTAACTGGCTAGTGTTGTAATGGTACCTCTATGTAAATGTTTCTTTTAAGTTAATAATTGAATGACAAAATGAAAAATCTTCCTCTGTAATGTGTTTCATCTGTCAAAAGGACTTCTGACTAAATAGTGTCTTCATTGATTGTATCATATTATGTTGGAAGAGGGAATGGAAATGTCAACAAACGCTAATTATAATTAAACACCAAAAAAAATATTGGAGATGCTTCATTTTAAATTTTTGGCATCTGATGTGTCATCATGTACAGCTTCACCAACTTCATTCAACTTTTATCAGTTTTTTTTTTTTTTAATATCCATATTATAATAACAGTAGGACTGTTAAGAAAGGTAAATGCTACATGAATCTAGACATAAATTGTTTGTTTAGTGACATATCAAGTCCTTATGGGACATTTAATACTGAAATTTAAATTCCTTGGGAGCATTAGTAATTTCTTTTACAAAAATGTATTGCTGGTATTTTTACTATAAAATTTTTTATTCTTTCATAGCGTTTTGACTCTGGTTTAGGGGGTTAACTATTTGCCCATAGCTGGGACCCTAGCAGGTACGACCATCTCAGGTCAGGGTAGACTTGGGAACAATAGCAATTAAGATGTGGTTCCACACTCCTCAAACCTCCTGATCAGAGATCTTGCTGCCAGATGTAATTTATTATCACACCCAGGACAAGGATATAAATTTACCAGAGAAGACTCAGAAATGCATTTTCACCTTAATAAATTATTTTCTCCTTTAATTATATATACGCATAGATACATGGAATAACGATATAAAATTTTTTTTTATATATCAAGGACAATTTTAGTCGAAACAATTATGAAAAAGAGAAAACAATTTACTGAGACTAAAATGTTTAGAAAGCACTTTAATCACTAGATCATTCACAGTAAATTTGCATCCTTGTTCTTACAACATTTCACCATTCTATTATTACAAGGTCGTATATTTAATAATAAAAGTGATGGAAACCAATCAAAAGTAAAAGAATCAAAATGAAATTGGCTCAAATGTACACCCAAAACACATGTAAAAAAAAAAAAAAGTTATTTTTAAATTCAAGATTCACAGCATCTGTTGTTCATGCACAAGTGTAGTGGCATGATATTCTGATAAAGTACTAAAGGACGTCACACCAGAAATTTTTCCCATAATCATATATATATATATATATATATATATATATATAGACTATAGACAAAAACTTTTTTAGGTGAATCAGGGATTATTTTACCTTGAGCTTAGGCCCTGTGGGTGTGCAGTGAGATACTTCTTTGAACATTGCTGCTTTTTCCATGACCTTCTTCCATTTACCAGATACTGCTCTTGGAATTTCATCATTGTAGTATTCATGCAGGAGATCACTGGCAGCTTTAATCCAAGGAATAGAAAACATCACGGTTGTTCCACAGACAAACTGATGATAAAAGAAATCCACAGAGATTAAAAAAAAAAGACCCTTGTTTATTTCCATTACAATCAGCTATTTTAGCAAAAATAAATAAATAAAAAATCTTTCAGTCATTTTAAATTAAATCCTTAATATATATATATATATATATATATATATATATATATATATATATATATATATATATATATGCATGTGTGTGTGTGTGTATTTATATTTTTATTCAAACAGGTTTGTTTAAATAATTTAGACATTATGTCTATTTTATTTTGAAAGGATTAAGACCAAAACAAATAGACATAATATTTCTAAATTATTTAACCAAACATGTCTGAAAATATATATATATATATATATATATATATATATATATATATGTGTGCGTGGGTATAGATATTATATGCATGTGTGTATATATATATATATACCCCACAGTAAAATGAGAATGAACAGAGCACAGTTCCAACATTTGTATCATTTAATTTAAAAGAGGGCTCAATACAAAGTAGAGCAATATTATTTATTTTAGGATATTACATCAAAAACATGTCATACACAATTGCAGTCGAAAATTTGAAAATGAAACTAAACCTATTGGTTATTGTTTTTAGATTGTTTCCAACATTTGAAACCACTTTCTGTATTGACTAGTATGAAATTGTAGAAAAAAGCAAAGGGCAGGCAGGCAGACAGGCAGGCAGGCAGGCAGGCACGTGCGACAGACGGTGAGCTCATTAGGGCAGCACACTGCTGCTGTTGCCGAAGCGTCATCGCTTGTTCAAAAGCTGGCAGTAGAGGTCGTGCTGCGGTGACGGTGGTGGCTTGCCGGCCGGCTATGCTGCGCACTGCTGTGGTGCATGCTGCTATCATTTTGGGAACCCACGAGACAGTCCAGTCAGTCGTCCTTCCACACACGACGTGGTAGCGTTCCTCCGCCAAAGGCGATGGTCTGGAATGCGATCGATCAGACTTGAGTAAAGGGCGGGTGTAACTGTGACTGACTTAAGTATGACTCTCTTAGGGTTACTTGTCCCTTCATAAGAGAGCTTAGTGCTGGTCCTACTCCCATAGGGTCCTCCTGGTAACAGTCCAGACATTGTCCACAGACAATAAATGTGAGGTTCCCATGCTTCCTTAATGCGCCTGTCTTTGTGGGGTTGCCATCCACCTCTGACTCGATAATCCCAATGGGTTCTCTATGCTGTATTACGATATTTTCCAAAAAAACAGGACTGTTAACAGGCCAGCGATGCCGGCCATGAAAGTGGGAGTGAGGAAGAGGTGCGCTCAGTGCACCATAATCTATAACTTCTTCCAGAACCTCCACAAACACAGTCTAAAGTAGGTTGACGAACGGGTCCTTACGAGGGGCTTGTTGCCAAGTGGGCCTTTTCCGACGAGGACTTCCTGCATAAGTAGAAACCGATATTCGAACATACTTGCTATGCGGACCTGGCTGGAGACCATCCCGGCCCGCTGATGAATGAACTCACTGCATCCATCAAGGTGGCTGATGTCTCCACCGTAATTGCATCTATGAAGGAATCTTCCTCAGGAGCTGATGATATCCGCCTTACCACCTTGCAGGAAATCCCCATAGAGGTCATCACCATTCTGTTCAACCTGTTACTGCTGAAAGACCTGCCGCCTACCAGAGGAAAGGCTGGTAACATCTTCCCCTCCTGGGTGACCTTCATCAAGAAGGTGGAGGTGCCAGGCGATCCTCTGGAGTTCCGTCCCATCACCATCGGGAATTACTTCATGTGAGTCTTCCATCGAGTGCTTGCCGACTTGAGGCATCCCTCCCTAACCATCAAGACCAAGTCGAGTTCAAATGTCTTGACAGGATTGCCCACAATGTCCTCAAACAGAATGTGGCCCTAAATGTGGCTGAGCCAAAAACGAGAACCTGGTGGTTGCATCAGTGGACATCCGCAAAGCATTCGACTCAGTCTCCCATGAGGCAATACGAGACAAACACCAACCTGGCCCTGGATCAGATACTGGAGGGCAAGAGGAGTATGACTTTACCATTGGCACGATAGTTCTCAATCAGATGGCTTACGCTGCTGATCTGATTCTATTCACCATCTCCCCTGAAGAGATGCAAAAGCGGTTGGATCAACTCGCAGTCAGCCTCGGCCGCCTTGGACTTGAGCTTAATGCCCAGAAATGCTGTGTGCTCTCCATTCACGGTGACAAGAAGAGGAAATTCAGCTTTGTTGACACAGATGTATCGATCTCAGTTGAGGCTAATCGCCTGCCAGTTATGACTGCCAAGTCCGAATTTTGCTATCTCGGAGTTCAGTTCAACTGGAAGAGCATTGCCCAAACATCGCTTGATCTTGAGAAACTCCTAGTCCGTCTCAATCACGCTGCACTGAAACCACAGCAAAATCTGATCATCCTAAAAAGATTCTTGCTGCTGTGTCTGCAACACCAGCTAACTTTTGTCCGACTTTCGGCAAAGAGGACAAAGCAGTTTGTTGGGCCATCTGCAAGTGGCTTTGGCTGCCGGCAAACTGTCCCAATTCTGTAATACATGCTCCCATGAGATTTGACGGTTTGGGGGTAAACTCACTGGAACTTCTTTATTCCATACTGAAAAAAAGGCGCCTCTACCAGTTGTCTTGTGGAGATGAAGAAGACGCTGTCATAGCGTCCAATCCTGCTGTGCGCTGTCTGATGTCCTATAAATATAAAGGATCTGGTTGAAGATCTCTACAAGAGATTGGACACCAGGGGCCTACAGGTGTATGAGAAGGTACCAGCTGTCAACAGCTGGCTGGACCATGCCCCCACCAACTTGGCTGGACACGATTTTCAGGAAGCCGTTAGAGTCCGCTTAGGCTGTATGGGTGCACCATCCCAGTTATGCAGCGGTGGTCATTCTGTCAATATTTACTGCAAATGTGGTAGCAATGCTCCCATTAGCCTGCCCCACATTGCCCAAGCCTGCAGCGTCGTTAGTGGCCTCTGAATCAAACGCCACAACAACATCGTTCTACACATGGCACACAGCCTGAAAGAAAGAAAATTCAACGTTATTATGGAAGCCAGGCTCCAGTGATCCTTGTGATCCCAACCAAGAAGGAAATCATTGTCATGAATGTACAGATACGACCTGACTCTGTCGTTTGCACTCGGGATGCATGCAACAGGGAAAATATCAGTTGGACATTCTAGACGCGATCCGAGAGCGAATCGGGCTCGACCTGCCCATCAAGATCATTGCCCTCACATACAACTGGCGAGGGGGGGGCTGCCTAACAGTCATACCAGGATTGCATAACACAGGCTTCTAAGGTGGCAACATTTCGGCCCAATATCGCGTATGATTCTGCAAGACACCACACACATGCTATGGGCATATTGGTGTGTACCTGTGGTGGGGGTGACAGGCCCCATGGCGTCACTGGGGTTCCTCACGGACTGTGCTGAGTAGCAAAACCTATTATCAATACAATTGCTATCAGTTCTTCTGAAGCAGAAAAAGGTTTCTCAAGAATTAATATTTTATCCTCAGATAAAAGAAGCCACTTTTGCAAAATGCAGCAAAACTTGATGACAATTAATCTTAGTGGTCTCCTTTTAAATTTATTGATGCCATTCCTTCCGTTAAAACATGGCTTAGAAAAAAGCACAATGCTGATGACAACAGAGTGAGGCAAAAAAAAAAAGCTGAAGACTATTATGACAATCAAGTGGCTATTTGGAAATTTTTTTAAATGAAAGATCATGAATAAAAGATTTTAAAGCATTTCGTTTAATTATTTTTTCTTTCAAAATGATAACGTGCAGTGTAATGTAGATTAATTTTGGTAATTTGGGATAAATGCAAGAAAAATTTGCTTTATTCCTAAATTATAATTATATAGTAAAATATAGACTATGGAAAAATGTGGGAACATATTACTAATGAGGTCTGTTGTTAAGAGAAACAGTTCTTAAAATTTTGGAATCTCACCACTACTGTCACCCCCCTGCATACTAGTGACATTACCGTCTTGATTGGGGTGAAAGGATTAAAATCTCTCTCTCTCTTTATATATATATATATATATATATATATATATATAGAGAGAGAGAGAGAGAGAGAGATAAAGATATGTAGTAATAACAAAAAGATTTTTCCCACCTGATAAAAAGCAACATTGATCAGTGTATTTTGGGAGGATAATGTTTTTAAATCAAGCAGTGATTTTAAATGAAGTGCTCAATATTTAGAAAATGTGCAAAACTGCATAAATAGCAAATGTATCAAAATAAAATATTAAAGTAAAAAGAATTATTGTCCATTTTTAATTCTGTATTGTAAATTGGCATTTGAAATTTAAAATCTTAAATCAATGTAAATCTTTGAATGATGAATGGAATACAAGTCCCAAAACATGAATAAGAAAAATATTTGAGATAGTTTGTTTATATATATATATATATATATATATATATATATATATATATATATATATATATATATATATAGCATGAAATTTCAAGTGATGATCTGCATTGAAGTTCCTCAGCAGTTTGGTGTTTGTTAGCATTATAGCTTTGTTTAATTTCTAGACTCTTAAGGGTTTTGTGTAGGTAGGGGACAACTTTTTTTTATTTTTTTGTCTTTCATTTTTTTATGGTCTTTCTTTATCTGGTTTTTTCATAGTTTCTTCTTTGACAGGTTTTAAGGGAGAAAGAAAATGATGAATGACATTGCATTTAAATCTTTGTTGACAGTAAAACAGGAAGAAGTTTCCATAAGTGACATATGCTGGAGAAGAAACTATTAGCACAGAACTTACAACAAACAATATGAGACCTAGCTGCCAATCTAGTATTGCTCTTTAATTCATGAAGTTGAGATAGCAAGGAGGATAATAAATATATATGAAAAGTGTGTGTATATAAATATATATATATATATATATATATATATATATATATATATATATAATTATTCATATATTATATGTGCGGTACTTATTAGAAAGCACTCAATATCAGAGATAGAGCTAACATATTTGGTTGGATTGATGTGAGTTTGTGACCCTGGGTTTCACGCTTTTGTGATCGTACGATCGCAAAAGTGTGAAAACCAGGGTCACAAACTCACATCAATCCAACCAAATATATATGTATGTGTGTGTGTGTATAATTAAAATGAAAGAAGTTTTGCTAAATACATTCCATAAATCCTACCCATGATATGGAGTTAAATTAACAGCTTGTATTTTAAAGCTGCTTATGTTATTTAAGATTTTATTTTATTTGATATGATACATCAGATAAAATAAATTTACATGTTTAAATGCTGTCAATGAAAACATCATAAAATGATTGGAAAAATGAAAAAAAGAAAAGAAAAAATTTCCTGAATGGAAGAATAAAAAGAAATTTGATTACAACTTACTGAATTTTCCCCCAGGGACAAGAATTCGATGAATCTCTTGCAAGCTGGTATCTGATGCAAACCAGTGGAAACACTGAGCAGCTACAACTAACTGAAATATCAAATACAAAACATTGATTAACAGGCTTATCTCACAAGCCATTATCAGTGACAACAGTTCCTTAGTAAATTCTCTGGCTTTGAACAAGTTTAAACTTGGCTCTGTAAATTCAAGACTCAGTTATCGTAGCCTTGTGCCAGATTTAGCTAAGTTTAGTAAATATTTAATTACCTGTTTCAGGTGGAGAGGATAGTCTTGCAAGACATTTCTCATAAGTTTTATACTGAGTACTCATGTTGTGGCCTTGTGTCAGACTAAAGCAAATTAGATGAAGTAATGGTCAGCAAGCTATTCTTGCAGAGTATTACCACTTTAATCATTTGAGCCTCACTGGGTACTCTGTAACTACACTAAGTATTGCATAACTTGGCACTTGTCGCATAATATTTGACATTATTTTGTGCCATTGTGTAACATGACACTTGCAACAGAATAATCAACATTATTCTCCTTTTTGTTGGAATACTTGATGTTCTGTATTTTTGTCTTTGCGTAACTTATGACACAGCATTTCATATTGTCTTGTGACATTGTATAACTTGTTTTTGTAAAAAAAAAATACATGTCATTGTTCTCTGTTTCATGTCATAGTGTAAATCTGATGTATTCAACCTTTTTCACACTCTACCCACTTTGAAATATGGCAAAGTAACTAAATCCCTGTTGTAGAGTGGTTTCACAGTGGAGGCTTGTATTTGTACGAAGTCGGTCCTAAAATAGGTTCGACATACAAAACGTTAGGAACTTGATATAATAGGTAATGACGCAGAGAAATCTAGTTGTGGTCGCTGATACTTTTAGTATCCGACTACCAGTCGTCCGACATCGACTGACTGACCAACTCCACTGAGTGACTGCTACTACTCCTACTTATTATAGGTGGGAGAGTCTATTAACAATAGAATAGATGTGTTCCACTATAACATCCCCCCCCTAAAACTTTACTCCGTAGGAGTAAACAGTTTTCTTTATTTATTTTTCATTTTTTACAGGAAATATGAAGAAAAAACAACAAAAAAAAAAACTTTTTTTTTTTTAGCAACATCGTAGCATATCTCCTACGTTTTTTGATCCACTTTGAATTGATCAGTTGCCTTTCTTTTTCCTTCTGGATCGGTAAAATTGTTGCAGGCGTTGTTAGATCAAATGTATTGAAAATCACCTCCATCGGCGTTTTTTCCGCGGGACCGCTGTCAACCACGTCTGAAAAACGTTGTCTGATCTGGTTACCGCACATGAATTTATCACCTTTCACCAAGTACATCATATTGCCAATTCTGTTTTTTTTTTAATACCTCCATAGTGTTACCAGAAACAACCTTCCGCTTTGAGCTTCTTAAGGATGGAGTCACAGTTTCTGTAGGTTCTTCTTGTGGTTCTATTTGTTCAGCCTCGAGCTTCCCTTTTGTTGATCTTGTGCTTCTTAACGTTTTCTGTGGTGACTTCAGTTGACTTAAATCATTTAATCATACTGCATGTCCTTGACTGTGGGTAACTCGCTCCCCAGTTTTTCTCGGTGTCGGCTTCATTTTTACTTTCTGGAGCTTGTTTTTCACATATATTGTTGGTGTTACCCATTCAACTTTTTTAAATACACTGGTTTTCTCTAATCTGTCCAATTCTTTATCTATCTGTTCAATTGAAGCAAACAGCACATTCCTCTTCTTTTTGAATACTGTCCGAGCATTTTCTTTTAGCTGGAATTTTGCCTCCATCTTGGTACACGTTCCCAAACCTGGAGAAAAAAACAGTAGGAAAAGCTCCCTTAAGTTTCTTTACTAATTTTTGGGCTTCGTAGTTTAAAAAATCTACCTTGTAACCGAAAGAATTAATCGGTAGATCCCATAATTGAAATTCTGTTATCCAATTCGTACCAAGTAAGTTTGTGCTATTTTCTATGAAAATAGTTTAGCTTTTCATGTTTTTTATTTAACGTGACGTTTGTAACAAATTCCCCAATAAATTGTATTTTTTCTCCCGTCACTGACCTCACGATTTTCTTTGTCTTCATTAAAGTTGGTTTCCCTAACTTCTTCCACATATACAAATTTATGATAGATAGGTCAGAACTAGTGTCGAGTTGCATTTTTATTTTTTTATTACTTATTTTGACAGTAACAAATTTTCTGGTTATTCCATCGTTCACCTTCTCGGACTTTAATTTTCTTATTTTATTGTCTTTATTTTTTGACCTGCAGTGCGAGCTTTTACGACCCACTCTTTTACAGTTGAAACATTTTTTATTCCTGAAATTGCAGTATCTGTACCAGTGTAGTTCACTGCAAGCAAAACATGGCTTCGGGAGTTTTTGTTTATTTTTCTCTGGTATTTCACTTTTTGTTTGATAATCCGCAATTTTAGAATTCTTTTTGGTAGACTGACTTTCTTTTTTGTAGCGTATTTTCCTTACATGCGAAATGCCAGACTGTTCTATCTTTTTCGAATCTTTCTTTACGCTAACATATCTTGTGCAGTCTTCTGCCAACTTCTGTATCGAAATTCTTGGTTCATTTTCCAATTTTGACAGTACTAATTTTCTCAACTCTGCGTCTCTTTCCGATACCAGCCCCTGAACAAACACCAAGCACTTAAAATTGTCAGTGCTTAACTCTGCTAGCTTGAATTCTTCACAATGCTTATTCACATTGGCTGCATATGTTATATAATCTTGTTCATCATCTTTCATCAGATTTAAACATTTCCACTTCTTATGAAACAAAGATGTCTTTTTACTAAATAATTCACTTAATATATTTACCGTCTCAGTAAAAGTCAACTCGCCAGTTTTTTTCGGTAAAATGTAGTTTACCAATTTGTTATGCTCAGCAGTTCCTAACTTGCTTAAAAGAAGCCTAACCTTCTTTCCTTCAGACTACGAGTGGCAGTCCTCGTTATACACATCCATATATTTTTATAATACTCCTCAAAAAGTTATCTCTTCGTCTGGACTGTACGTGAATATTTCAATCGAATTCCATATTGTATTCTCTGGGAAAGAATCCTTTTGTAAATTTTCCTCTTTCCTCTTCTCAGTTATTTCCAGAATTTTGTTTTGAAACTCCTTATGCATCTGTTCCATTTCTCGTTGAAACTGCATCTGTCTATTAAAAGTTTCCTCCTGTAGTTGCATCTGGAATGTTTTCTGTTGCTCTAATATTGTCATCTGTTGTTCCGTCTGGAACTTAAAAAATTCCTGGAATATATTTTTGCATTCCTCCATCTTGGCAAAAAGTTTACACAATGCTTAAATATTGTACAGGGGGGTCCTACGAATTTGCAATTCGTGATCTGAGCAAACTGTCTTATCAAGAAAAAATAAAATTCTTTCCTCAGTTGAGAATATGACTGATTTTTTCATCACTAAGTTGACGTCTTGTCTTTCAAAAAACTTTGTCAAGTTTTTTTTTTTTTTTTAAAGTATGAATCAGAGATTTTGTTGCCGAAATTGTGACAAGCAAGTTTTTTTCTTTTTCCTCCGTATGAGTACGAATTTCGTCACCAAATAATGTGGCGAGCGATTTTTTCTTTTTTTTCCACCATATGAATTTCGAATCCTTGTGGCCAAGTGTGTTATGGAGTATGAATGTTTTTCTTCCTCCGTATGTGCTCGATTCGTCATCGCCAAGTGTTGTAGAGTGGTTTCACAGTGGAGGCTTGTATTTCTACTAAGTCAGTCCTAAAATAGGTTTGATGTACAAAACGTTAGGAACTTGATATAATAGGTAATGACGCAGAGAAATCTAGTCGTGGTCGCTGATACTTTTAGTATCAAACTACCAGTCGTCCGACATCGACTGACTGACCAACTCCACTGAGCGACTGCTACTACTCCTACTTATTATAGGTGAGAGAGTCTATTAACAATAGAATAGATGTGTTCCACTATAACAATCCCTCACCTGAAAGGCAATTTGAAAATATTTCACAGTTTACATAAAACATAAAATTAGTAATAAAATAAATCTGTTGTTGTCTTTTTCCCCATAAAAATATGATGACCCATATCTTGAGAATTCATATTTTTTTAACTTTTCCTGAAGAAATAAAATGACAGAATAAAATGTAAGTACAGTGTGATGGAGTTGTTTGTTTTGCAACAAGATGTGAATCATACAATGAACACATAAAATATACAGAATGTTTGGATGTGCTCAGAAACTTTGGTAAAGAACAATTGTTACTGGAACCGCATCAGTTTTATAAGCAATCATAGTTATCAATGATACATTATTTGCAGGTATGATTTAACTGTTGAAAACAAAAAGATATAATGTTTCTTTCAATGGCAAGAGTTTGGGCAGAAAAAGTAATCATTTCTTCTTGCAGTACAATGGATTTTATCGCTTATGACTGTATCATGTTGAAACATAGAATCTCGTCTGATTGCCTTAGTTAAGCAATTTCATCATGCAAAGGGGACATAACATGGCCATTATATCAAAAAAAGGAAAAAGCCTAATGGCCCATTCTGACCAATTCAGATCCAGAATTGAAGAGGAAGATGTTGTGATAGAAGAAAACTTTGACAGAGAAAAAAAATTCTTCAGATCAGAATAATGCAATAAAAGACAAGCCTATGGATGATATCAGGAGTGACTCAGACATGGAAGAATATGAAATGAGACCAAGATCTCTATTACAAAGAACAGGACATAAACCCCAAGGTGGAAAGGAGGAAGGTGGTTGTAGAAGAATAACCAAAGGCATTATACCTCTTCAGTTCTGTGGCATGCATTGGTTGACTTAATTTTTCTGTATGTTTGCAAATCTTTTGACATTAACAGCAGAATTACAGCAAAGAAAGAATCCAAACATTAGATTGCCTTCCAAATGACAGTGTGAGACATCATCAAACAAGAAACATTGGAAGACTTCATCAACACTGTTATGAAGAAGAAATTCAAATGTTATGGACTTGTCTCAAGAACCAACAATCTTTCCACTGCAATCCTACCAAGGTACCACCTTAGGCTAAAGAAGAAGAGGCAGATAGATAAAAAAGAAAATGGTGACAATGTTACTGAGTAGACTCAAATATCATTTACAGAGACTCAGACACTGGTATGCAACTGAGACATACAGAGGAAGCTGGTCAGGTGCTCAGCTGTGTAAGTGACTATGATGACACCAGGTCAGCTACTAGCAATGAAAATGCTTTCTTGAAGTCAGCTGCTTTTCAATATCAACAGCCACCTTTAATCAACCAGTTGACTAACAATTGTACCATTTCATGCCTTTAGAATTTGTCTCTATTTCTGAGATGAGGTATTATGTACATTATTTACATTATTTGGACTATTGTTGTCATCTTTGTTGCCATATTTATTACAACGTTTTGGCCGTTGTACGCTCTGGCCTTCTTCAAGTGGTTGGAATGTCGAACTGAACCATTTATTTCGCTCACTGGGGTAGACTGTTCTAGTTCCATGTGCCATGTTTAATGGATGTCAGTTATCTCCTGTTAATTTCCGTGTGAAAGTTCTCCACTGCCTTGACTGGGTATTGAACTCATCTGACATTCCTACACTGATGCAGAGACCTACAACTCATTCCTTCAGGCTTGGCACCAAGACTTCCCGTCAATTCAAGGAGAGCCCGTCTGGTTGCAGAGAAAGCAGGACATGCCCTTGTCCAAGAGAGAATCCAGTACAATCGTTGGATAAAACAGAGACTACAAGTTCATATCTCCCGAGGCTCGAGGATTTCTTTGTTGAAGAAATCCTTGAGCCTCGGGAGATATGAGTTACTAATGAAGACGACCAGAGAAGGATCCAAAATGATCTGGATAAATCCTTCAGACATGAATTCGATGGATTCAAGGCTTGCCAAGTAAAAAAATTAAATAGATTGAAAGATCAGAAGGTGATGCACAAAGTCCATCACCAACCAGTGAAAGCAGTAACCAATATCAGCTGAGTGCCTTTGAGGAGTCAGTATTGAATAAGGGTCTCAACTTTGCCACAACCATCAGGCGAGTGCCATACTTGGACATCATTGCCAGAGTCAAGGAGCTGGCCTTGAACATCCCTCAAGCTCAGGTGGATGAACTGAGATGGAAGGTGAGAGACCTTGGAGAAGACCAAGCCATCCAGGTCTAACATAACAAAACTGGAGAGGCTGGCGATTGGATCCCTACAGAGGAACAAAAACATCACCATACTACCGGCTGACAAAGGCAATGAGACTGTAGTGATGGACAAATCAGATTATACAAGAAAGCTGAAAGACCTCATTAGCAATGGTAGCTACACCAAAGTAATGCAAACTGTCACAGATACTAATCAAGAACAAGGATCAATTAGCACCTAAGACATATAGGCAGTTATCGCAGCATTACACCAAGCTACCTCACATATACAGTCTCCATAAGATTCACAAAGATAGTTTTCCGCTCAGGCCGATTGTTAGTTGCCAAGGCCCTGTGTGCCACCCTCTGACTCACTTCCTTGTAGATATAATTGACCCATTGATCAGAAAGTCTCCTTCATATGTCCGAAACTCCACCCACTTCGTGGAAATAATCAAAGATGCTCCATCCTATCCAACCAGATGGTGAGCTTGGACGCGGTGAGTTTGTTCACCAAGGTACCCACGGAGGAGGCACTCTCAGTAGTCAGAGACAGATTGGCCTCTGACTCTTCCCTAGGAGAACGAACCAGTATTCCAATAGATAATCTGATGGAAATGTTGACTTTCTGTACACAAACAACACACTTTGGAATGGGATCCCACATATATCGACAGGATGAGGGCTTAGCAATGGGCTCGCCATTATCACCAGCAATGGTGAATATATACATGGAATACTTTGAGGAATGGCATTAGAATCTATATATCTAAACCCAACTATATGGTTAAAGTGCGTAGATGACACCTTCATACTTTGGCCACACCAGGAAGATGTTCAGGTTCTTCTGGACCATATAAACTCAATAAGACCTTCAATACAATTCACAATGGAGAAAGAGAGTAATAAAACACTCCCATTCCTGGATGTTCTAATATCTCGAACAGAGCATGGGTTTAAGACATCCGTATACCGTAAACCGACATTCACCGGACAGTACCTCAATTTCAACTCCCACCATCCATACAGGATAAAGAAAGGGATTGTCTGCTGCTTACAACACTGAGCAAAAATCATAAGTGGCGACCCAGAGACATTAGATAAAGAATTGGTCAGTATAAGTAGTACCCTACAAACAAAACAACTACTCTGGGTACATGACAGCAACCCAAAATTCGAAATTGTGAGTATCGGAACACTCCGAAAAGTGAACAATTATTCATTAAAATATTCTTTTTTTTTTTTTCTGTGTAGTTTTATTACTAAAAGTTGGTAAGTAATTCTATGTGTTCTTGTAGTGGCGTGGGGATTAGGGATTAAAATGAGCGGTTGATTTACCCACGCCAAAAAGATTAATGAAGGAGGATAATAACAGGGAAACACACGGGGAATTTTAACAAAACAAGATAAAGGATTTATTTACGAATTTACATGCTTGAAGTTGTGTCAGCAGTTCGTTTCAGGAAAATAATAGAATAGGTCCTGTCTACACTAGCTAACTGACATCCATTAAACATGGCATGTGGAACTAGAACAGTTTATCCCAGTGAGTGAAATGAGGGGTCAGTTCGATATTCCAACAACCTGAAGAAGGCCATGGGCATTTTTGTGTGTCTGCTAGTGTCTGTTTAATTTCTTAAGATGGAGCAAGAAGAAATGAGGAAGAGTTTGTGTAACAAACACAGAACTGAAATGTACTTTTCTCTTCCACAACTCATTTCCAAAAATTTCTGATGAAGCTTAAATAAAAGTGAAACCTATTAAATTTTTCAATGTTTCCTACCACACACACATTTTATATATATATATATAGATAGATAGATAGATAGATATCTCAACGGATGGCTCAAAATATTATGCTCTGTAACATATCTGTCTTGTGGGTGATGAAATATTTCCCACGTTACAAGCCCTTTCCTACAGATGAAACGATGCAAGCCTTCTACTACTCTATTGCTACTTCCATGGAAAGTGTTCAGACAAACTAGATTTCTTAGTTCCACCAATTTGAACCATCACAGCTAAGGAAGAATATAATACTAGAGTTGGGTGAAATATTCATAGGTTGACGATGAAGGAGTGATACGAGACCTGTAAAATTTTGCCTACATTAATTTCAACTCTTTTTATTAATAACTACATTGTTTCTTTCCAGGTAAACTGACACCTGACAGTTCAAAGAAGACTTTAAAAGTAACTAGTAGTGACTTCTCTTGAAAATGGACAAAATTTGGCAGAAAAAGTGTTTAGCATCTCCAAGGACATTTATATTAACAGGGTTGGTACATTAGGGGATGAAACCTCAGCTTTATCAACAGTGTGTGAAAGTGGGGAGTCTGAATGTCTTGCAACTGCCAACACCAAAGAAAACATTGATCATGTGATGAATGACAGGCAGTTGACTATAAATCAAATAGCCAATGTTATTAGCACATCCCATGAGAGAGTTGAGAATATTCTGCCAGTCAGTATATGAGTAAAGTCGACACTGATTAAAAACTAATTTTTTCTAAGTGATAACACAAATATTATATCATTATACTTGAATCTGTAATGATCTGTATAACAGGTAACTCTAGAAGGATCAAGACAGATGGGGGGGGGCTTTTTTCAATGGTCATTAATCTTCATGCAGATGCATAAAAGAAAAAAGTGGAGGAGGAAGTCAAATGTGGACAGAGACAAATGATGAGAGAAATTTGTTACAGTTCCATTGAGAACAAAGTTGCAAAACCTGGGGGACTCAAAGCTTTATTCTTCTGTCCTCAAACTACATTATGAGTTGTAGTTGAAGAAAAGAAAAAAAAAACACAGAAAATCTTTTTACTTGTCCAGAGAAAAAATTTAAAAAAAGTGTTAACTGAACAATATCAGAGTAAATAATTTCCACTGATAGAAAGAGGTATTAAAAATTGTGGGTAAGCAGGCAGCATAAAAAGCTGGAAGCAGAGAGGAGGAAGTTTTTCTATTGTTGTGTTGGGGGACAGTTCATGAGACTGATCAGATTCAAGTTGGAGAGGAGGAGAAAATTACAATGACGACTTGTCAGACGAATTGACAAATTCATAAATTCATTTAAATCATCGGGTGAAGGATCATGAGTAAAGGCACCGAGAGTGAGTTTAACTCTTTCATTCTTCAGCACAAACTACATGAATAAAAAATATTTCTCCTACCTTGTTGCCAGCAAGGAAACTGAGAAAATGAGGTAAAGAGTTTAAATACAAGGAGGGAACTAGTGCATTGTGGGTAGCAAAAATGTCTATATAAATCAGTTGTGGGAATCCATTTGTATTGGTTTTATGTTTTTTTTTTTAATGCTGCCCAGATACAAGCACTATAGCTGCCAGAGTTGAAAGAAAGAAAAGTTTAAAAACGACAAAAGATTGATTGCAAACAGAGAGATCCAAACCTTGTTGCAAAAGGACCTATTTCCCCTCTTTTCTCGGTTGTAGGAATTTAGGAATACAGACAATTCTCCATTTCATTCTATTTGTTCAATTTACACCTCACTAAATGTGGAGACACACTGTTACAACAATCTTCTAAATAAAGGTTTTATTTTATAGTTTGTACTTACTCTGATTGAAGAATCTGGAAAAGGCAGATCTTCTGCAAGGCAAACTCTGGTTGCAATGTTAGGACAATTCATCTTCGCTTGTTCGAGAAAACCCTCCATTGGGTCTGTGGCAAGGTATTTCACAGACTAAAATATAAAAAAAATTCAAGAAAAAAAGAATTAAGATGATATTTTCGCAAAGAAAAAAGATTCAATACATTCAAAAGTTACCTCCCTTACATAAATCTGTGTACTTACTATTTCCCTTGAAAAGTTTCTGTGAGTTATCTCCCCTATTGAAGTAGCAGTTAACATTTACCTAAAACCCAATATAATTTTTTAAAATCGAATTCATCCCAAGCAAATAGTTTGCAGGTATCCATTACAATGTTATGGCTTTTAATACCTAGCTCCGTCTTTGTCAGGTTTATTAAACGTAATGATGGGCTGTTGAGGAAGTCTTCTTTATGGTCTTTTTACTGTCAAGAAGGCTTGCTTTTCTGCCAATATCCTGACTTTACTGCTAATGCCAAACATTGCAGAGATTTCTTTGGCTTTTGTCAATATCCTCCACTTAAGAAACAGAAGCCTTTTTATAAAATTTAGTTACTTTCTCTGAAACTCTTTCTGTATGCTTTAAGGCTCATTGCCTGTAATGTCTTTGTTTTGTCGTCCATAACAAAAATTCTCTTAACTTTTTCAATTTCCAGTACCCATTGATAATTTCTTCTGAAATAAACTCTTTCTTTTTCTAAAACTTAATTTAAAATGTCTATAAGGTCTTTTTCAAACTCTGACAATTCTTTCACAGCAGGGAGGTATTTATCAGTTTTGAACAAAGCTGTATCAGTGTCACTACCATTTTTTGGGAATATAGTTTTTAATTATGTCCGTTATAATGGGTGATGTCCATTCCAACATGGTGCCACACCTTGCTTACACTCACTTGTCCTTTTTGCCATTGCACAGGTGCTGGGTCGATGGACTGACACTCCTTGCATCCTCTGACCACTGCCCTGACAGCAGCTTTGGATACGGAGGGATAAATCTTCCTCACGAAATATAAGGTCCGTTTTACACCGGGATGTCCGCTTTGGCAATGCACAGATTTTAGTAAATCTGAGTTATAGTTGCTCGCTGATGTTACACAGACATGTTCTACCGGCTCTACCTCTTTCTTAATAGCACCAAGCCATTTTTGGGGTACCCTTGTTAAAGTATCGGCCTTGTTCTGCTGTGATCTGACCAGCTGTATGTCTACGGATAAGTGGTATTCACTTACCAACTTTCCCAGTGTGTCTAGCCTCCTTCGAATGAGCATCTTGCTCGCAGCCTTTGTACATATCCTAGCCTTCCCCGTAAGAGTGTCTGATATCCACTTATACACGCATGCGGAATCCGTGAATAAATGCAATACCTTTGCATTCCATTGAAGGGCCGCGGTGACTCCCCTGATAATGGCGTCTAATTCTGACAGGTTGATATGTTGCGTATCCTTCTCGGGACGCAACCAACACGCATCTTCCACGACAGTGTCACCTACTTCAAGAGACACTCCTGTTGCAAGGGAGCTCGCGTCGACCCAGACGTTAAATTCACATCCGTCAACGCACCATTTACCACGTACGGGGTCGTCTTGACGCACCCTAGTAATGACTTCCGCTATCATGTGTCTAAGGGGGGCATCATTTGTTGTGTCATCCCAGCCGGAAGTGACAGCAGTCACCCTACGTTTAATAAATGCAGTTGCAATGCAGATCCACCCACCCACGGGAAAATGTCCCACCAGCTTTCCACATAATGTCCCGAAATAGTTTGAAGAGTAAGCGTTCTCAAAGCAAATTTGTGGCTTTCACAACACAAAGAAAGAAAATCACTTGTAACGCGTCAGGAAAATAACTCATGAATGCCGTAGCCAAAACTGCCTGAATTTTCTTTTTCCCCGAGTCGACAACACCAACTGCTTTTATCGGCAGAACCTATTTTTTCCATTAGTCGACAGCCGGGATAGGATGCTCCTTATTTTGCATATTAATATACTCTTATAGCGACTCCTGCGACAGACTTGTTTCTTTTTCGTCACAGAATACACGCGACGCGCTGTCGCTTGGATTGACGAGGTAAGTCGCTATAAGAGTTTTGCTGACGACTTTTTGGCAATCCCTCCCCGGCAGATTGCACACAAAACACAAACTTTTTTCCGGGGTACTTGATTATCTCGTTCACTACAATACCTTAAAAATATAAAACACTTACCAGAAGACTACTGTTGTCTTGTCAGGTGGTTTACTCAGTGAATTAATCAGAGACAACACAAAAACTTAAATGCCTTTAACTCTCTGTCAGGCAGGACCCACCTTGCTTTGCATGAGATTAACCCATGGTCCTGCCTCAACAAAAGAACACTGCTATGTATGTATATATGTATGCTATAGACTGCATGTCCAAGAAACACTGCTAACCTGGCCACTTCCCAAACATTTAAACTATTAGTAACTAATAAAATAAAATCTAATAGCTAAATCCTGGTTATTTTCAGGAGTCAATTTGTGGGTCTTAGTAATAATAGAAAGAAAATGAATTCATTAATAACAAGAAAAAATTTCTTTTTAATTGCCAACATGCAAGTTTTAAGTTTTCAAAAAGATTAAGGAATTTTTGTTTTTGACAGACACACCTTATTTTTACTTTGAAGAACCGAGCAAAAGTTTTTGAATAAACTATTAGTTCTACCTTAAATATGATTGTTTATGTTAAAAAAAAAATTGAATGACATATTTATTGCTCGGTGATTATTGATGGGATGTGTTTGCTTTTATTTTTCTTTGTATCATGTGGCCAATAGCATTGGTAAGTGCATGTCCTCAACCTTTTTGAAGATGAGTGGATTTCTCTTCTCTACAATATCACAAAAAAATGACTTAAGTTTTTTTTTTTTTGTTTTTTTAAATAAAAATGAAAAGAATTTTTGAAAAAAAATATTAAAAATATCAACCTTCTTGATTTTGGAATGAATGGATTTTGTAAACTTTCCAGTTCCTGCTCCCAACTCCAAAATATCAGCAGACAGGTTTTCTAGAAAAAGTAGAAAAGGAAAGGACAAGAAAAAAAATTAGTGTTGGTAACAAATATCAAATTAATTCAATAAAATCCTGGAAGAAAAATACATTCACCTGCTCTTTTGTATCCATTTATTTCATTATTTCTGATATTTACACAGTTCAGCTTTATAAAGCTGAAAAACTACACAGTGGATGAAAAGGGCAAAGAAGATTTTGTTAGACAAATCCTCAAGATGAGGAAGGCTTATCTTGAATATCAGCCTTAGAAATCCTGGCTTTTGCATGGGTTAGAACCTCAACCCCTTGCATGAGTGAAAAACACAATAGTCTTCCTTTTTATTCATGGTTTTGCTTTCTGCAGTTTGTCTTTCTCACATATAACCTGAGAAAAAAAAATCAAATCTTTAGTTTTAATTCACACTTCTGCTGCTGTAGACATACATATACATCTTTACAAATTCTACACTGACTGCTGTTGATGTGTGCGTATATATATATATATATATATATATATATATATATATATGCAGTATATCTTCATTTAAGCGTGTTTGGTTGAATAATCTAGACATATCTCTATTTTAATCTTCTCAAATTCATGGATCAATTTCTTAGTGCTGTTACAAAACTGAGTAAGAAAGACTCTATAGTTTTGGATATTTCTTTTATTTTCCGAAGTTTGCTCATGAATGCAGTGCTGCTAGTACGGAGAGACTTTGTCAGTTGGAGAGAGATTACTTGGGCCATTTTCACAAACACACATATACATACATATATCAGATATATTTTAAATGTTGGTCCCTTGTGTTTTTTGTTATCAACTAACTAGAAGTTATTGCTATTTACAAAACCAGCATAGATATATGGAAATGTAGAAAACAACTTGTTTTTCAGCATATTTTTATTATATTTTGTGTTGAGGTTGTCATTTAGTCTAGTCCCCACTACAGAGTAGCTGATCAAAATTAAAATGCTGGCACCCATGAGAAATTGCCATTAGTCTCTTTATAATTATTTGTTTCCAGCAAATGTTAAGTTTTTTTGTTTTTTGAAAACAGGGCCAGCACAGCCAGGTAACAATGCTATCACAATGCAGCAGCAAAAGTGTTAATAATAGTGGGTAATGGCAAAATGAAAAAAAATCACTTTTTTTTAAAATTGTTTCTCTCAAAGCCAGGGGATAATGCCATAGAGACATAAGGGGTATAGGGATACAAAAGGTGATTATCTCCCTTTGGTTGAGATAAGCCAGGAGGCCCAAATGATAGCCACTTAATAATTTAACTCCATAGAGTGCCAAAAGTGGCTGTTAATTCCACTCAGTTTACAGGAACCAACCTGAGAGGTTGCTTTTTTAGTCTGGGTCCCCACCCGCCCTGGTTTGAGGCTAAATCTTCCCCACCCAATAGCTTACAAGTCCATGGTGCCATTTCCCTTTGGAAATATATCTCCTCCAGATACAGAAAGAAACTCTGACTCAGAGTCCTCAATTTAGGAAAATTCAAAACTTGCCGTTTCCTGCTCATGGAATATGTCTTCGCCTGGGACATTGTAGATGAACCTGGCCCATTTGATTCAGGAATCCTAAACATGACTTTCCAGAAACACAGAAGAATCTTCATATTATATGCAAGACCCTTCCTTTTTGTTTCTCCTTATACTCTGCTTGCAGTGTTGATATATGATATATTGTTCTCTGCATGGGACAAGCGTATATATGTTGATATAGTTTTGTGCATGTATAAAAGTCTACAAGAACAAAGCATTTTCATCATTCCATTTCCTTTCAGCCATTCCATTCCATTCATGATATAAGGTGTTATCACAGATATATTAATACCTATAATAAATGAAATAATGGGAGAATAAACCTTTCTTCCATAGCTCTCTCCTGATATAGCAGTTACTGACAGTGAAAGAAGATAAGAAAATAGTGAAGAGAAAAGAAAATGAAAGAACAGTATTTAGAAAGACAGAAGAAGGCACTTGGTGTTTCATTTAAACCTTTGAAAAACATAGGTGACAGGAAAGCAATAAAGTGGATGAGATGTTCCAAGCCCATTATCAATTAAACTAACTGTACCTCCAAGCTTACAACAACAGGTATCATGCTGATCTAGTTTAAACTTTATGTTCAGGTTAGAAGACCTAGAAAATGTGGTGCAAATAAAAAACGATCACAGGTCATGTAGAATAACATTTATGGAACACAATTAACAAAATATAAGAGATTTCATATCTTTTTATTGTACTCCACTTAATTCTAAATAAATTTATTAATAAAAATGTCTGACAAACAGGTGTTTCTGCTAGTCAGATTAATTGTCATGAAAATACTTGTAGAAAAGGCTGAATAAATTAATATGTATACAAGAGAAAGTCAATATATTTACATTAATATTGTTGTCCATTAATTTCTTCCCTAATTAACCTTATTTTAACTTTGGCAAAACATTGTTATTTAGTCACATAGTAGATTTTTATAGTTAATACAGTAACTTTGGTTTATTCCAACTGTCACATATTTGCTGTCAGTTCTCTGGTTGAACCCCAAACACTACACTAGAGTTTCCTTAATAAACTTACCCTAATGATGCAATGTCCTTGCACCCCCAGGAAATGATATCACACCCCTAGGGGGGGGCAAGCACCCCTGGTGGAGAACTAATGCTCTAGTGTGACACAGAGCTACAAATGTAACGGAGCAGTAGTTCTGTAGAGATATTAGATGGAGTAAAACATGGATGAGTGGTTAATCAGATTGGAAAAAATATTAATTTAAACTGACAAAATACTTATGAGGAGGAAGGCATCGGGAAGATTTTAATCTAAAATAAACCAAGTAAGATGCAATAAATTCCAGTATAACTGAAATTTTCTACCTCACCACTCAGGTTTGAGAAGGTTGTGATGACATGATTAATGCATTTACCAAATTCTGAAAACTTTCTGATAGATTGCAAATTGTTTAGCAGCCTACTCTGTTAGAATTATATTGATTTTCTAGAAAATATCCGAAATCAGATATTGGGTAATGGGTACTGTTGGAAAAGCCTCATGAAATTTACCAGGCCATCTGGTTTGTTTAACAAAGAAGGTCATTGTGTAGATGCTTAATGAAAATAAAAGATCCTTTCTTGAACATTACCATTATAAGCATACACAAAAGCCAATTTAGACAGTTGGTACTAAGGCAGTTCCCAAGACTACAATGCTATCTGTTTTTACCAGTGAAGTTGACAAGAAACCCACTTTTTAACTGTTAGATATCTCTCAAGGAAAGAATTTACTAAAGTGAAACTGCATAATTGTGTTTGCAGCAACTTTTGTATTCTCTCATCACTGATAAATTGCTGATAGTTTTTATCAACAATTTGTTTCTTTTGCTAAAAAATTCCCTGCTTTTCAGGGAGGTTGCCTGAATTAAGAAAGTTGTTAAGACTGAGACATTGCCTGGACCATGAAAAACCACGGTCTGTTGGAATGAATAAAAAGACACTTTGCATAATTCCTCCCAGCAGGTACACAATGTAAGATTCTGTCAGATGACATGAGACTGCCAAAGGAGGCAAATGACAAAAATAACCACACTCAATTTACTTGTCTTTTACTGAACTCTGATACCTGGTAGTTGCATCCCGTAACCAGAATAACCAACAATGATATCAATTTGGCGCTGTGATAATAATACTCACTTTTCCCTGACCAAAATATCCAGATCTAAAAAAGATGAGGATGAAAGAGACTCACATCAGAATTTCAAATTCTCTTAGAACAGAGGTAATAAATAAGGCTGACTTATGCAGAGGCTGCTGCTGCTGCTGCTACTCACATATTAATGAACAAACAGAAGCAAACTTGACCAGTGAAAACTATATACGTTTTTTAGTTATATGGCTAAGGTTAGTTTTATGGTTAGGTGTAGCATTGCAATTGTTGACAAAAAAGTTAAATGGTTTTTGGACTATTGTCCTCATCTTTGTTGCCATATTTATTACAACATTTCAGCTGTTGTATGCTCTGGCCTTCATCAGGTGGTTGGAATGTTGAACTGAACCCTTTATTTCGCTCACTGGGGTAGGCTGTTCTAGTTCCACGTGCCATGTTTTAATGGATGTCACTTATCAGTTATCTCCTGTTAATTCCTCTCTACAAGTTCCCCACTACCTTAACCGTTGTATTGAACTGACACTCTTTGGTTCCTGTCACTGGATCTAACCAACGCCTTTATCCACAGTGCCATGTGTCCTTAGAAAGTAATAAAAACTCAATGAATATTTTTTGTTATTCTTCATCTTCCCTTATATCAAAAAAAAGAAAAGAAAAAAGTTATATCATCTGAAGAACTATTTGAATGTCCTTTCTCAAAACTATAGAAAATGCCAAAGTAGTCATCGTTTGCAGAGATATTTATATCTCATCTAGTAATGTAACCCAATTATTCTCATGTTTTTTGTTTTTTTATACAGGTTCTTTGATTATGTCCTTTGAATATTTTTTTTGGGGGGGTAGCGTAGGTTGAAATACACTTTTAATACACAATATTCTATACCACCCACTAAAATTTCCAGTTACCCACCATTTTCTGTTTAGTTGCTCATCACATATCCAACAGTTGAAATCATCCACCACTGGGTGATATCGCCCAGGTTGGGAATCACTGGTCAACAGGAATTAAAGTAAAGAAAATTATAGTAATTTTTAGCAAAATATTGGATTCTTAAACTGCTATGTCATATCACTTCTGTATAGCAGTGAAAATTTCTTCACAGAGATGAGAAAGCAGAGGGTGTAGTTTTACATAAGTATGCTGAGAATACCATGGACAGACTGTACAGACTTAACTGCTACAGTCAAACGGGCCGAGGACGTTTGTTTATATGGGTACCGACCAAAACCTGGTGTGAGGCCAGACACAGCCTGGGGTTCTTGGTAAATCCCAATTCCCAACAAGAAATATCTTTGTTGTCAGGCCAGGTCTCCTTCATCTGTGAGGGAAAGTTGGAGGAGAGCTATCCTCCTAGACTCTTCCTCTCTCACATTGATATCTCATCCCAATCCCTTCAGTGGGCATTAATAACTTCTCCATCCTTCTCATCCATTCACCTCTGCCTATCACCATTCCTACCACTCGACCAATGGCATCCCGGCTGCGCGGGTATGGCTAACCTGGCCTCCTTAAAATTATAATCCAGAATTTTTGTTTACAAAATTCTCCTTTTTCCCCATTGGCCAAATTTTGTTTTTTATTTTATACTGGAACCGTTGGCTTCTTGAGAAATTAAATTCTTTATCTTACCAAATCACAATTCTTCCACTCTATCTTTTCTCATGCCTAAAATTTTACAGTCACCATATTGCTACTCAATGTCTTGGCGTCTGAAAGTGACAACTTGGTAAAGTAAATAATAATGGTCCTCTCCACCTGTATTGAGACAAATACCAAAATTTTATAATCACCATCATTGCTTTTCCTTGCTGGCACTCAAGAAAAAAAAAAAAATTCTATCTTGGAAAGATAATTAATATTGATTCTCCCTACCCTGTATCGGCAATCATCTCAGGCCAAAATTTTTATGACCGCCATGTGGTCTGCCTGATATTTTAATGCTTTGTTTTTCTTTGTGAATTCTCCTATCTCTCTTGGCAAGACATTAATCAACTTGACAAAATCTCACATATGGCTTTTTCTATGAGTTTACTGTCTTTTGTGAAAAGTATCTTTTTCATAAATAAAATAAAATCTTTTTAACCTCGAACTTTCGGGATAACTTCTTTCTGCCTTCAGTATTTCCTGTTTTAATTTCTATGGTTAATTAGTTAGCCAATTATCATATCTATCTAGTATCTCAAAATGAGGCCATCACATTCCCTGAAGATGAAGAGACCTTGGCTTTATTTGGAGCAGGTGACGAAAGGGTGTTTCCACTGGATGGATTGTCTCTGGTTCAAAGTAATGAACCCAGAATTCATCTGGAGTTAAAGAATGTTCAAGCAAACTTATGTTCTGGAACATTTTCCTGATGAAACAAGACCCACCTTTCATCAGTTTGCTTGGGCTTTTGGTCTTGACAACCTTTTGTAACTGTCACAGCAATTAGGCATAGTCAACCTATGAACTTTTCAGCCCACCATTAAATTAGAAATTACTACAGGCATCCGTCAATTAATGTGCATTCGATTAATATGTTTTTGATTAGTGTACTAAAATTTTTATATACCAAAATTCTATACATAATACTTGATTAGTGTGTTAAAACGTTCTTCAGTTTAACCATAGTAATAGAAAATTGACTTTTTTTTTATTGTTACTGATATACATGTTAGCCACACTAATTGATAGTTTCCTGTATTTATAGATCTTCCTTTATAGCCTTTTAGCTAGTTAAGGTTTCTAGGATAAGGAGGATATACAATGATTGACCCTTTGAAAAGGTTAAGATTGTAGTGTTCAAGGACATTAAATTTGGGTACTGACAGGAATTAACAGATAAGCATAATTAAGAAAAAGAGAAGAAGAGCCAAACTTAATGTATAATAATGGACTTTTTACCTAAAGGTTGCAGATTGTCCAAATCCATATACTTCAGAACTGCATCAACTGCTTCACTGCTATATTCTGGCCGCCTTGCATCGTACAAAGAAGCAGTTTTCTGCAAGTTTCAACAAAACATTTTATTTTACTCCTTTCAAAATTATATAAATAATTATATTATTCAGACTGGGAAATTTTCATTCACAAGTTTAAATCATCTTTGTGGATCAAAACTTGCACATTTTGAATTTCTTTTTTGTCTACAAAGAAATCATAATGATAATGGCAACAAAAAGAACACTTAGAATCATTTGGTTGTTTATTGGCATATTAACACCTTTATGGGTTATTTAATACTGAAATGTAAATATTTTGTACACAATTTTATTTTATTTTTGAGATAATAATAGTTTAGTGATACACATCTTAATAGCTGGGGAGAGAAAAGTTGGATTGATATGTTTCCCAAGTGTATTTGCATGTATATGAATTTAACAAACCCAACAAGAATTGGAACTCAGATCTCCAATTAACAAAACTGAACCATTATCCATTGCCCCATCCACATATCCAAGCTTACAGCACCTGATATTTCCAAGTGGTCACCCATCTAGGCACTGACCATGTTTGACGTTGCTTAACTTCAGTGATTGTATAGGAACTGGCGTTTCAGTTTGATGTGCCTGCAAGCCTCAGGAACAGGAAAAATCTGCTGAAATTACTTGGACACACAATGAGGAAGGAGGGCTTAAAAAACTTCGCCCTCACAGGTCATGTTATAAAGAATTTCTATTTATGGGAACTAAATCTAATGACAAATGTATCAGCCTAATAAACCATTCATTTAATATATCATAATAGGGATGACCTATTGTAACTATTTACACTATTTACATACACCACATTTCAAAAGTCTGAAGCCACTGCCATAATTATCATGGTATCAACTTGACAGAAGAGGGAAAAAATGATAAAAGCTCTTAGAATCATTGTAAAATGATTGGAATTATTTATCAAACTTATACTTTGAGAAACTTTTGCAATGAATGCCAAAAATTTGTGCTGTAGTAATCAAAACTAAAGGAGGATATTTCGACCAGAGTGAAATACTTTTTTTTCTTTCCGTCATAATATAATTTCTAATAAAAAATCATGTCTCACGTTTAACCATGTCTAATAATTTTCTCTTATTTAAAGTACAAAACAATTACTTTTGGAGCCAATTTAAAAAAAAAAAAAAAAAAATCACCAGGGGTTGCCTCAAACTTTTGAACTGTAGTAAAGTTCAGACTGTTGTTCTCATCATTATTGCTATATTCTATATATTGCAAACTATATATTGCTATATATAGTTTGCCAGCCACTACCACTGAGCAGACAGGGAAATTGTCTCATCCTTACTCCTATGGCATCCTTTTGGAAGTGCATTCTCACAAAAATTGACTTTCCCCAAACACCATAGCTCGGGGCTCAGGCTTGGACATTGGGAATAGCAATACAGTGTAGAAAGGGATTGTCAATGGAGTTTCAACCAACCATAGGCAGGTCAAAGGATAATGATGATGATTACTATATTCACAACGTTTCAGCCATTGTACATTAGCCTTCTTCAGTTGATAGGACACATGACCCAGTGGATAAAATTGTTGAGTAATCCAAAACATGACTTGTCACAGAGTTGTGAGTTCAATACCTGACCACAGCAAAGGGAACAAAATCTTGGCGAGTTGAGTAACTAAGGGGAATTAACTGAAACTGAGATATCCAAAGGCATGGTATGTGCAATTAGAACAACCTATACCTTTAGACTAAATAAAGGGTTTGGTTTGAAATTCCATATATCACATGAAGAAGGCTGCAGCCTACAATGGCCAAAATATTGTGAATATGGCAAAAAAAAAAAAATGAGGACAATAGTCCGAACAATGTAAATAGTGTAAATAAATATGATAATGTTCAGTACAAAAGTCAGTGCACAGACAAGGATAAATCTCCACAAATGACCCCCAAAGCTGAGCTCTTTGAAAGAATGGTAATGTTGTGTGTATGTGGTAATCATAGTAGTATAATTCATTAAAAAAATCTTAAAATTCAATGAAACACTAAATGCACACTTATTCATCCAGTAGCTGCAACATAGCCACAAAAGTTTAGTTGAAAAGTGAACTGTGCACATCAATGAAAGACCGCATACAAGAATAACTCTGGAAGAAAGATCATTTACAAAAACGTTAGTCTCTGAAAAGTGAACTGTGCACATCAATGAAAGACCGCATACAAGAATAACTCTGGAAGAAAGATCATTTACAAAAACGTTAGTCTCTGAAAAAGTGAACTCAATGAAAAGAAGAATAACTTGAAGAAAGATCATTTACAAAAACGTTAGTCTCTGATAATCCACCAGAATTTGTGTTCATAGTTACAACAAATTCATGGCCTTCCTTATAAAACACCAGTATACCACCAGCAATTGCATGGAATTGCAGAGAGAATGTGGCAGATAGTAAAAATGGCATTGAAGGTATTTTGACCCATCCGGAGACACAATAAACAGCTATCTAGCAAGACTGTTACAGAATTATAGAACCATTCCACCTGCAGTTAGAGTTGAAGACAAATTTGATCTCCTACAACAACGTCCTATTTGATGAATGAAAAAATGTGGTATGAAAACAACAGAGAAACAAGTCCTGAAAAAGCAAACTTTATTGTAAAAAAGGAACATAATGCAGCTATAATAACAACATATGCATAGAATTCATTGGTTCACTCTGATCAAATAAGATTTAGATTTGATGACAAAGAAGTCAAGATGGAACAGGAAGAAGAACCTGAAAGATAAGAAAGGATGAATGCTTCTGATGGCAAACACAGAAAGAAAGAAACTGGAGAGTAGTTCATATGAATCTGATATAGAATCAGAGGATCAGAATGAAGAGGAGTCCAGACCTAGATCCCCAATTAAAAGAACCAGGTACACACGTCAAGAGAGAGATAAGATCATGTATTATAGTTAGGAGCTGTCAAATGAAGGGCATGAAACCTCTTCATTTCAAGGTGTAGTGAGATGTGCAAAATGGACTTACTCTATTTTGCATAAAGTCAAATGACTACAAATAATTCAGTCAACATGAAAAGACAATTACTACTCCATTACAGACAAGAAGACAACACAACATGAACATTAGTTTAAAAAAAAAATATGCTCAACGTACCTTATTAAAACCACCTACAGCCACTGGATGGACAATGGGCTTAGTTGAAATATCCTTGTCTCCGTTTTTCATTTTAAAGATGCTAAGGTCCAGTGGATCTGACTGGAATAAAACCAAATACCACAAATGTATATTTAGAATACTTTATCAAATCCATTTTGTACAGACTAGTTTTCAAAAAATATTTCATTTCAATTTGATATTTGGTCAAGATATGATCATATGATTCCAACAGATGCCAAACTTAGAAGACATTTCAAAAAATTAATATTTAGCAGAATATTTCTAAAAAAATAAATTATGTCCAATTCTGTCGATGTTTACTTTTTATTTCTATCGTTGTCAAATATAACAGATGAAACAAATATTTTCACTAGAGAAAAATTTGTTTTTTTGCTTACAATTTAATTATTTTTAAATTAAAAGAAAAAATGAAAAGAAAATTGTGTGTCTGGATAAAAAAAAAAACCCCAAAAACTAACAAGTGACAAATGTTTATAAAGCCATCATGCCGATGGTGCTGAATCTTGGGTCACCTGAACCTCCTTGAACACTTCCACTGGTGCTGCATCTTTCATCTGACTTCCTCACAAATACAGAAATTGTTGTAATTCATTTTGTCTGGCTTCAATTCTTCTGATTTCAATGCTGCATCACAGACAGAATTTTGCTTATTTCTCTTTATTATATGAAGGACAGTAATTGTAGCAGCATTTCAAGAAGAGAGAGATAATAAGAGGATAGGATTTCATTGTTATGGGCTAGCTTGCCTCATCAAGCAATATGAGTCAGCTGAGGTCATGTTAAATTGAAAAACAGCAGGACCTGTCACTAAAATGGATGCAGAACATTTACTTTCAATGATGGTTATCAGTAAGTGAAGTCAACTATAAAGTACAGAGCAAGAGGCTCAGACTGAGAGAAAGTAACAGAAAGAAGATTAAGTAGTTTTTTTTAGATGACAATGACAAGACAAAGAAATTTGTTATCTATAAAACTGACCATTCTGTATAAAGGTACACAAAAGGAATGAAGTGAGCCTTGCAGAATAAAAAGAGAAGGTGTGCCCCTCCCTAAACTGTGCCCCTCCCCACTCACTTATGCCTCATCTTTACTTCACTCACTTATAGTAGTAAGTTACTACCTAAGAATAAAATCTGGTTTACTGCCAGAAATTGTTTTGTCTTTCACTCATGCGTAATGATCTGACTGAAGGATAACTTTTAAGCCACAAGCATTTGACTGGAATAAAATGCACCCTGTCAATGAACCTGGTGTCTGGCCTGAGCTGCAACACAATACTCACTAAGGAATCTAGGTGCAGGAAGCATGTTAAGCCTTAATATTTTTGCACTCGTATCTGTATCTTTGTGCCATTTTGCTTTTATATGTAAAATCTTAGGCAATCCAGTACTAGCAGAATTCCATGCTCATGGGGTCTCCCGACTAGTAGTTTGCCATTCTGGGCCAGCCTTTGCATTTTGTAACAAAATTCACTAAAGTCCTAAAACCTTAACATTGAAACATTGCTGGGGAATGTTGTGATGATGAAAGAATATAGATTTTTTTAAGTCCAAGTATTTGATGAGCTGAGCACTCATTGCAGAAAACGAGAGCCATGAAAGAACTAAAGGGATTTTTTGAAAAACCCTCACCTCCTTCCATATCAACTATTGCAAGTAGATTGTAGAGCCTGCTAACATGCCATCTTGGTGCCAGGAATTCATCTTCAGGCACCTCAATTCACGTTCTACTGAAACTGCAGCAATGTCACCTGTTACGGCTGCAATCAAATGCTCTACAAGATAGCTGCAGGAATAACTAACATTCATGGCTTATGCAAAAATATACCATACCCAAAATTAAACAACTTTTAAAATTCTATTTTGTTTAGAATATTTTTTGAAGATTTTAATATTTTTTCAGAATTAAAATATGATCAAATATTATTGGGAAATGTAAGAAAGGATTTTGACATGATTGTTACAATGAAACTTAATTCTGGTGGAAAATGAAGGCATTTAAATACAGATAGAAGATCATGTGGAATGAGACGTTTTCTTCTTAAAAATCTTGTATAGAAAAATGAAGATATTTACTTAATACTGGAATATCATAAGGAAAAAAAATTTCTTGTAAAACTTTTAAAGTAAAGTATCATTTTAAAATTCATTGTAGAATTCATCCTTTTTCTTCTGGAGTTGCACGTCAAGTCAAACTCACATCTGATGAATCTCCAATCCTTGCATCTTGAACTGCTACAGTGAATCAATTTCCGACTTTTTCTTCTTTTTTTTTTGTGCATGTGGTTTTTTCTGAAGTTGAAATGCCAAGTCAGGACCAGTAATATTGCTGATTCTTTGAATTTTATCAAGACTCTCTAAATATAAAGCAGGATCACCAGACCATATATGGCAGCAATATTCAAGGCATAGTAGAACAGTAGATATTACCATTATCATATAAAAATGATAAATGACTGAAATTTTATAATCACTAGCCTGTTGAAGAAATATTAATTAAATTAATAATTAAATTGATTTGTAATCAAAGTTTCAATTCATTTAAAACATGATTAAAAGCAACAATTATAAAGATGAAAAGCTGAAAGTGGAATTACAGTTTGTTGCTTTCTAATTTTGACAAAGTAATTCAATAGTTTCAGATTTTGGTTTCAACTTTCCAATACCCACCTTCCATCCATTTCTTTGCAGATGTATAATATACAATTATCAATTTATTTTGAAACTCATTGACCTGGCAGTTTTGAGTTCACTCCCTGTGTCTGGCAGTGCTGAAATGTCACATACTCAGCTGAAGTAAAGGAAACAGACAAACAAAACAAAGTGGAGTCAGACAAGTGAAATTATCTCTTAAGCACATGAAGCAGAATGAGAATGATCTTCTGGGAGTGAATGATCATGGCATGAGTCCTGTAAAACCATTAAGGTTGAAAAGACACCAGATGCACTGCAGCCATAACCACATTGAAGTGTCTAGAGTAAGAGAGTTTGATAGAACCCTGCTAGTTTTTGAATTTAGAATTTTCCTTCTCCTAGACTGGTTGCCACCTAATGGGAAGAGAGACCAGTCAGCCCTGTTATTTAACCTATATGTGGGATGAGAGATGAATTCATGCCCTTCCCAAGGGTATTTGTGCTAAAAGGAATGTAATGAACTTTGCCAGAATCTGAATTCACTGGACTGGATAAATATGAAGACAAATATCTGAAAATGGCTAGCAGATACAACAGCCAAAAACATTTTATGTATATGAATCAACATGAGCAAAATCAACAAAGCTGATTCAAATCGTAAGTCAGATAATAATACCTCATCTCAAATTTGTCATCATAAAATGCAAACATATTTTAAATAAACAAGGTTTTTAAATATTTCCCAATAACTTTGGATGACCCATTATATAAAAAATAAGAATTGTGAGGGGTGGAAAAAATTGTTCAATATTCCTTGATAGCCTTGGTAGTAATGCTACATTTTCTCCTTCTGAAAATGATTTGGTTGAATATGCAAGAAAATGAATTATATCAACAATATCCTGGTAAAACTTGTTTGAAAACCTTACATTTTCTCCTTCTGAAAATGATTTGGTTGAATATGCAAGAAAATGAATTATATCAACAATATCCTGGTAAAACTTGTTTGAAAACCTTAACTAAATCTGTTGGTTCTAATTTTTGAAGATTTTGGATCAAGTCTGTTCATTTCATTTGGGAAAGATTATGTCCGTCAACTGAAATATCATACAGGATTTTATTTATTTTTAAGTTGAGGATATAATCTATATAGAGTTATAGAAAACGGGAATCACTTCAGTTTTATTTCTCGTGTTACATTCCATGTCATCACCAGCCCCTCCAGATCCTCATGTCAATTCATAGACTATCAATTAAAGAGTTTTTTTGTTTGTACTTGTATTATTATATGAGAGGGACTGACATGGTAACATCGATTCAAGGAGGCAGTGGGAGGAAGCACTTCAGGGAAACACATGCCCACTTCTTGGCTTAACCTCTCTAAAGAATCTGGGTGCAGAGAGCATGCTGAAACTTTAAATTTCTTGTGGCCCTCCGAGATTTCACACCATTTTGGTTTTATCGCCAAAACTTAGACAAAGGCAATATATCACTAACAGAATTTCACACTCGCAAGGTATTCTAACCAATTGCTTGCAATCCTGGCCCAGACTCAACATTCTGTCATGCTCAACATTACTACATCAGAAGGCCTTTCTGGAAAAAAATTTATTTAATACATTTAGTTTTCTTAATAGTAGTAGTAGTAGTAGTAGTACATCTGTTTCTACTAAATAATTTTTTTCTTAAATACTGAAATTTGAAAACAAGAATTACAAAAAATAAAATCATTTTCTTTTCCATTCATTTACCAACACTTATCACTTTATTATTGTTAATAAAATTATTCCTTGTTCAGAACAGCATCTCAATTTTTATTTGTAAATTAAATAATTAATGTTTCTCAAATAAGCAGCTAGATTTGTTTCATCAAGAATGTGACATGTCGAGGTTACATTACTAATAGGTAGAGTTAGCAGATTTGCAAAATTTAAATACAAACAAATTCTAGTATTATATTTTTCACGTGAACTTGTCCCATGTAGTAATATTATTTTATATCAATTTATGTCTGTATATATAGAGTATATGATTTTACTGAAAAATGTGAATCATACCATAGACAGAAAATGTGCACAATAAGGAAGTATAAAAGGAAATAGGAGCAAGAAGGAAAATTATATTTACCATCAGAGAGAGAGACAGCTGAAATTTGAAAGACACAATGAGGAAAGTGTGACTGGAGATTTTAAATGACATACTAAAGGAAAGATAAACAGATGATATGGGACCCACCTCTCTACCTCATGCTAAAGTTTCCCAACCTGGGGACCACAAACCATCAGGGTGGAGGAGGTGGTGTTGAAAGCAGTGCTTTTTAAAATTACAAAATCATATTAGCAACCCACCAGTAGAGGAAAGAGAGAATAGGAAGAAATGTGTATGCATTTTTATAGGATAGAAGAACGCACCCTC